TTATTTTATTTTTGTTTTTATATAGTAAAGTTGCAAATAGTTGATGGTCGTGGTTATATGTTTTTTATATCACATCGTTGAGCCAATTGTGAGGTTGCAGATATACAGTGAAAAAGAGAAATGTATATAAAAAAGGGGTTTTACTGCTCAAATATACATATGTAGTTAAAAAGTACTTAATAAAAAATAATGAATAAAAGGTTATATTTAATGTATTTAGTTTAGCCCAGTTGTATTCTGTTGTTTTTACATATTCGATTATGTATTGCGAACAAACTCGTATTTTTTTTTTTTTGTTTAATAAAACCTGATTTTTCTGCAACCCTAGAAACTTAATCGATCTGGTTTTGTTTTACTCTTAAGGACTTGGTTAAAAAATAATTTAAAACATCCGCTAAACCCGATGAACTATAGACACGCATTAACGTGAGTTCTGCATTATTTTAACGCAACTCCATTCTGACTAAACTTCCAACTATCCGGAATCAACGCCGATAATACCCACTATTTACACAAATGTGTTCAATATGAAAAAATGTCCGGCACGATACTTTGGCACCTCCTCATGTGCCCACTGAAAAAGGCGCATCTAGATCTTTTTCAGGATTTTAACAAAGATGAGAAGGCTATGGCAATTTCGAGAGAATTTTTTTTTGCGGAAGTTCGTAAAGCATAGAGGCGGTTTCTATTCTCCGCCTTAGCCAGTAAGCTGTTGTAGTGCCAAATAAGCTTAGGATAGGCCTGGCTATGGTGAAGTGGCTGGTAATGACCAAATCAGCACACTTAGGCCCGTATTTTTGGGCTCATTGGGATACATACTCAAACTATCGTGTGGAGTCTGCGAAACCTAATATATGTCACATTCCTATATGAGCTATGTCAGTGAAGTGAAGAAGAGCAAACTGCTCAGCCATTCTGTTTGGCGATCTAAGACAGCCGATTAAGGTTTTTATGTGACCGAGTCAACTGCTTTCGGTGTCGCTTGACTGGCTAAGTAGATGAAGATGTGTCTACATGTGACTTTTACTATTCCAAGTATCCAGTAGGCAGTGTATTTCAGTCACTTAAGCTTGAAAAATGCTGTATTGGATGGGTATGTGCTAAGAAGACTCCACCTCTTACATCAGTGTAGAAGTGAAGTCATGCATTTTTTTTAGCTCCTTCGCTTCTCGTTTAGCATTTTGAGGATTCCTCTAGCTCCAGTATTGTTTTTCCTATGGCAGGGATCCCTCTTCCAGGACCACACCCTGCGGGGCTTCCCTACTCACATCGCTGTCTAGTGAAGCTCTTGGCAGTACCATCCCTATACCCCTACCTGTTAGTAAACGAGTGAAACTCGCTGTAAGTCGATGCCCATAGCCGACATGATTGCCGTAGCTACTATTGCTGAAAGCAGTCCCGATGAAAAAGAACTCTGTCAGTGTGTACACCTTTATCATTAAGGATTTGAGATTTCCACATCTCCGGTATGTGGTTGAGAGTAAGAACTTCCTTAAAAAGGCGTGAAATCATTTAGTGCTTAGCTCCAATGATCGCTGCAGCTGAAACGGCATCTGGACCCGTGGTTTTATAGGGTTTAAAAAACGCCTATTGTCCAAATTAGTTTTCTTTTGTAAGGTAATCAGCTGCACGTGGCTGACCATTTTCTATTAGACGCCTAGAAGAAGATCCACGGATTCTTTACCAGTATTCGTTCATGTCGCTGTGGTTTATTTTTGTCGCCCAGCTTTTTTTATGAGGCAGGCCTGATCTAAAACTTTGCCACATGCCTCCATAAAACGATGGTGTTAAATAAGAATAAGAACGCAATCTTGGCCACACATGGAAATAGACAGGCATAGCCATTACCGAGTCGGAATTTTCCATTAAAGAGAATGTGTAAATTCTTGTAGCCGTAACTACTACTGTAGTTATCCTTCACAACCCCCATGTTAGTTTAGCGGGCATTCCCAGAAATAGTGTAAAAGTGTAAGTCCCTCAACCGATTTTGAACGAAATGTTTTAGGTTAAAAGAAATGTATCTATTCTTTCCGTTTATGTGTCATATAAAAAAAATTGTAATTTAGAGATCAAAACTTAATTTAGCTCAAATACGTGGTGCGTTACTTACCTTCCAGCTTTAGTGTTTTTATGTTTGTCTCCAGTGGTTTGAGCGCTTCAATCGGCACCAGCTCGAAGTAGTTCTTACGCAAATCGAGTACATGCAGTTTTCTCAGGAAGCGAAAAGCATCAGTCGACAAAACAGTCATGCGATTACCCATCAGATAAAGTTCCATCAAACCATGCAAGTTGCGGAAAGTCTTCTTCGATATACGATCCAATTGATTGAAGGACATATCGAATGTCTGCAACTGCGCTAAATCACTGCTAAACTCTTCCAAATCTTTCAGCGTATTATGAGAAATATTCAGAAAGCGCAACAGCCTCAAGCCCTGCAGACGTTCTTTTGGCAACATTTCCAATTCATTCACGCTAAGGTCCAACGTCAGCAGATTTATGAGCGACTTAAAGGCGCCGGGTGAAATGCGCGTAATGCGATTATTGACCAAATGTAGATGCTGTAACGCCTGAAAAGCTTCAAAGTCTTTCGAGGTCAGTATAGATAAATTCGTTTGGCATATATAAAGCTCTTTGAGATATGGGTAGCGCTCCTCCTTCACCGTGTAAATCTTGTTTATTGGGTTTCCTGTAAGATTGAGCCAAGATAGACGTGGTATCGAGATGTCTGACAACGCCGAGCTCGGCAGCTGTAAGAAGCGATTGCTCGAGAGATCAACGCGTTGCAAATTAATCGAATGACGAAGAAAATTCGCGGGCAGTGATAGCAATAGATTGCCGCTAAGATCGATGCTATCCAACTGTGTGAGGTTAACCGCATTGAAGTTACTCAACGAAGTGATTTTGTTATCATGCAAATTGAGTTGCCGCAAATTCAAAGTGCCACTTAACTTGAAAAAGTCAATGGAACTCAGCTGATTGCGTGACAGAGCCAAAGTCTCCAGCGTGCTCAAATTGTACAGCGCAATGTGCGGGAATTCGGAGATCTGGTTATTGCACAATCGCAACT